ATTTGCATAAAAGTTTAATAATACAAAATTTTTGTTTAGTATGCTACCAAAAGTCTGGAGCTTTGATTTTTCTACTGCTTGCACAGAGTTCTCTCTAAAATATGATATATGTATTACTGACGAAAATCATCATCATCATCATCATATGCCGTCGTCCTCAGAAAGGTTGGCTGTCACAATCCTCCACTTCTGTCTGTTCTGTGCTTTTCTCACCAGGTTTTCATATTTTGCTATCTCAGTCCACTCTTTAATATTTGTTATCCACTCTGTTCTTGGTCTTCCCCTGTATCTTTTCCCTTCTATCTGACCCTCTTGTAGGACTCACTGGATGTTGTCTCGTCTCATCATATGGCCAAAATATGCTACTTTTCTCTTCTTGATGGTTGGTATAACATATCTTTTCACATTCACCATACTGAGGAGTTCATTTGTTACCTTTTCTATCCAGGATCATCTTTCTGTACACCCACATCTCAAATGCTTTAAGTTTGTTATTCAATATTTGTGTCAAAGTCCATGTTTTACAGCCATATAACAGAGTTGACCATATATAGCGCTTTATGATTCTCTTCCTTGTTTTTACACTTATACTCTTTGATATCAGAATTGTTTTCATACTATTAAAGGCACTTCTTGCCACCTCAATCCTCTTCACTATTTCAGCTTCACATTTTCCATCACCTATTATGGTTTGGGTGAAGTATGTGAATTTCTCTACTTGTTGTATGTATTTTTATTTTAACCTTATCTGAATTTCTGGCTTACTATCGTGTCTACTTATCAGCATACTCTTTGTCTTCTTAGCATTCATTTTCATTCCATACCTCATTCAAAATATATTGTAAGTCTTTTTCTGTTTCAGCCATCAGTACAGTGTCATCAGCTGTTTCGAAAGGAATATCTAAAATATGGAGTAACTGTTTGTCTCCCAAGAGAATTTCATTGGTACTCAATGGGACTGAAGTCTGGTGAGTGTGCTTGTAATTTCTTTAAGCCGATCACCTTTAGTTCAATAAATGTACTGGCCAGTTTAGCAGAGTTGAAGTTAGTTATGTGATATATATATTAAGTTGAAGTCATAGCCAACTGCATTATCGTGATGTAGCACAGAGGGTCGTAGGATGTATTGAGGCCAGATGATATATCAATATTTATTCTTCCACTACTACACCTATCATGTTCCTATACGAAAACTGGGTTGGATCTAGTTACAGAATCTCCCCAATGAGTAAATAGCTTATAACTCTGCTGCGAGATGAAGCATGGTTCATCTATATACAGAATTTTACTACACACTACACATCCACTGAACATGTGCTTGACACCATTGCGAGTGATCTATTTTGTATCTTGTTGTGAAATCTATTTCTAATTAGCATAGTGCAGCAAACCCAAGCCGACAGATATCAGTCGTTTGCTTGTATTTGGATGGTGTTCTAACTCTGGTTTTAGAAGCAGCTCCACATTTTGCTGATAGCACTTTGTATCGAAATCACAACATGAGTGAAATATCTAGATGTTTTTGTGTGTGTGTTATTTTATGAGGTATAACTATAGTTATGAAGAACGTGGAGTATTTTCAGTTTCGCGATTCACTTTAAAATGTCAAGTGAGAAGAGATTGTGATTACGTATTGACAACCTTAGACTTGATCTAAAGTATTAAAAAATGCAACTTGACAATGAAATAGGATGTTATTGTTTGGGGAATTTAAACATTAAAATACAAGAACACTCTTTACTTATGCAGATTTCTAACATGAATAATTCTTCCAAATTTTATCTTATAGCAATTGCATGACAAACACAGACGGATGTGTTTTATGCTCGTTTGTAGTTAAGCACAAAGCTACACAATGGGCTATCTGTCTTGTGCCGAAAACCTTGTTTCCAGCGTTATAAGTCTACAGACTTGCCTATGTGACACTGGGTGCAACGTGTTTATATAAAATTGTTAATGACTAAGTAGTTATAAACAGCGAAAAATTATATCAGTGAGCTTTTGATCACAATACTTACTTCACTCTTATCTGTGCACATGCCACTAAACTTAACAAATATTTTGATGAACCTCGTCAGAACGAGAGGCCTTTTATTCATTTCACCTTTTTCTTTCAAGCGTTATTCACCAATATACCAAAGTTATAAACATTTTAAAGTAATTTTAAACCATTTCTAAACATGCTTTCAATAAACAAAGCACCTCTTCTCTAATCGTAGAAGGTATTTCACCTAATATGTTTGCCTCAGAGATGTATGTCGTAATCTGAATGCCAAATCTTCAATTCAACTAAATTGTAGAGGTATTACTGTAAGTCTTAAGTCAATCTTCATGTGTGATGGAGGTATACAGTGATATTGTTACGACAGCGGAAGTCACGTGACTCTAGTAACACGTCATGAGATTCTAGAAGGATCATGTCTGTTCCTGGCGGCTCTGGTCTTCTCTACGCACCCTCTATTTTTGTATGTTTAAAGAAAACTTGCAGATTGAAAAGATAGAGAAGGACAATTGAGTCAAGCGCGGTAGTAATTAAAGTGCGCGAATCGTTTGCTGTGAATTATAGAGTGTGTTTAAGTTAAAGTTACTGTGGAAATTAAGTGTATTGCAAAGTTGACTTGAAAAAGAATAAACTAGTTTTATTTAAAAAAGA